TCCCCCCCACCCTCCAGAAACCCCCACGTCCTCCCCCTCCTGGTCACGTAGGCCGCCCCCGCCTCCGGCCCCGGCCCCGCCAGGTGCTAGCGCCGCCGCAGCCGCCTCTATTGGATTGGATCTCATGTTTGCCCCGAGTGCGGGTGCGGGTGCGGGTGGCTCCAGGTGTACCGCCACCGCCGCCGGCTCCGGGTCGTCCAGCTCCGCCACCTGGCGCCACTGGCCGTCAGCCCCCGCCCTCTCCAGCACGTAGCGGTGCAGGGGGGGCACCCCCGGGTGGGCGGGGGGGGACCAGTGCACAGCGGCCCGACTGCCGGGAGCCGGGCCCCCGCTGCCACTGCCACTGCCACTGCCGGCCCCGGTGGGGGTCACCGGGGGAAAGGCGGTGGTGGTGCACGTGAGAGCCTGAGTAGGGCAGGAGGGCGAGAGGGAGGTGAGGGGGGCCGGGTGGCAGGGGGGCCGGGGGAAAGAAAAGGACTCAACCAGGGGACATCTGGTTCCTCTCGCCCCCCGGGGAGAGGGCCCGGGGTTCGGCGGGGCCCCGTTCAAAAATGGTCCGCACCTGCGGCTCCGAGGGCGGCCGCCCCAGTCCTAGGATCTGACGCCGAATGGCCCGGACCACCTTGCCCCGATGGAAAGGGCTGTGTACCTGGGGGCCGGGGGAGGGACACAAAGGGGGAGCAGAGCAGCCAGCCAGCAGTGCAGCCAACCGCCGAGTGGTGCGTTGCATGCGGGAGCGGGGGTGGCCTTCGGCAAGCTGGCTGAGAAGTGGCTTCGGCGCGGTTGCGAGGTGGTGGAATGGGGCCGGTAGAGGGAGACCGGGATGAAGAGGGGAGGGGTTTCACTGATCAGTGGGGTTGAGGCTGCGGAGAGTGTTTTGCCAACTCCCCCACCCCACCCAGCTCCGCTCTCTGCCGCCCCCGTGCTGACCGGGGGCTTGCTGCGACTGGTCCGTCTTACACGGGTCTGTACGGCTGTGCACCCTCCCCCGTGCATCAATCCCCTCGCCCGCGCTCGGAGATGGTTTGCGGCACAGATCCTCAAGCAGATCCCAGTGTTTTTATTAAAGCATCACGTGTTGGAGCAGCGCGGTGATCGTCAGCCCCGCAACGTGGTGTAAGGGTGTGTATGTTTTCCCCGGTCCAGGAATTCGAATTACCGAACGTTAACCTCATTCTAAACGCACCCCGAGTTCCTCCTCGAGGATCTTTCCGTTCTCCTGGACCAGCATCGGAAAATCCAGCGGCGTTATGGAGTGAGCCCTGAACGCATCTGCATACTGAGGTAGGCCAACACCGTGGCGAATCCATTCCCAAGCGCGGACGCCGCTCAGCACTGAGTGGAGATGTATGTCAAGTTCATCGACTGACACGGTGAGTCCAGCGTCGCCACCATCTATGCTGTGTAGGAAGGAATTTGCTGCGTCCGCTGTTTCCTGTGGCTCGTCAAACTCCTGTCCCCCAATGCTACCACCAATGAATTGTGATGCCTCATTAACGTCAATCGCGCCATCGTGGTTGTTGTCGAGTTCGGAAAAGAATGCGTTAAGGGCCGGATTTGAGTTGGTTTCAGCCTCCTTAAATATGGAGAACACAAGCAATGCGCTTATAACGACAACTGTCGTTTGGGTGCTTTTGCAACGCATACTTCACGCACGCAGGTGTCAATCCTTTCGTTTTCTGTTCAGCATTTTTTGGTATGGGGGATGAAGACTAGTGCTTTATTGAATTTATGACATAGTAAGATTTTCCGTCCATTGACGGTGGAATTGAGCGAGGGAACCAAGGAACTTGGGAAAGCGGTATGCCGGTACGGATTTAGTAACGGTTCGAGGGGAAAAGAAGTGGGGAAATGCAGCCTTTGCTGAAACATTTAAAGTATTTTTACTGTCATGACACACGTGTTACTTTAATTAAAGAGAATATTGCAGCATGGGGGCACTTGTCTGGCGTCGCGGCGATGATTCGGCTGGCGCTGCTGGCAAGCCCGGCCCGGCCACGCAGCCCCAAAATCAAAGGCATAGCAACACGCCTCACCAACAGCCCCGCCCTATCTCTCGTCAAGCAGGCGCTGATCTGCCCGCGAAGCGCCCGGCTCCGGAATCCAGTGCCCACCTCCTTCCAGACCAGCTGCAGCCATCACCACGTTCGCAGACGTTCAGTCTCTCGATACCGACACATGCGCCTACCAGCGCGGCGGTTCTCGACATGGACACTGGAGGTGCTGCGGGCTTTGGCGCGACTCCCCGGCATCTCGCGACCCGCACCGTAGGCCCTAGGCCTACATCATTCCTGCCAACATGCGCCTTACACGAAGCTCCCCAGCAGCCACCCCTCAAGCGTCCGCGGCACGAAGGTGCTCCAGCACCTGCCGCTACCAGGTCCCATCCCGCTGCCGACCTACGACCCCAAGCCCCTGCCCCAGCACCCAGCAACAGCCGGGGAATCCCGCCGCGTGGCGCCTGGGGGGCCCCCGCCGGACACCCTGGGCCGGCCCCCCTCCCCACCGCACATGGCCCCGACGTTACCGCACACACTTCCACAAGCCCCATCTCGGCCCACATCTCAGCCACGTCGTCAGCCCCATTTGCAAGCCCAGCGGGGAGAGCACCGGCCGCTGCGGGTGGCTTTTCGGGCGCCGCGTGGGGTTGCCTTCCCGGCCCAGGACTGACCTCACATGGACACCGACCGCCAGCTGAGAGCAGCGGTGGTGACGGTGGCGGTGGTGGTGGCGATGGTGCAACTGCTAGTGCTGGTGGCGATGGCGGCGGTGGTGACCCGGTAGCTCTGTTGGCTCGGACGGAGGCGGCTTTGGAGGATTTGCGGCGGCGGCTGGCAGCCAAGGAGGCGACGGTGAGGGCCAAGCAGGTATGTTGTGTGGGGTACTGGGGTCATATCTTCACACTGCGGCCGCTACCCGGCAGACCCTGCCTTCCCCGGTATTTCGGGGCACCCTCATCCAGTCACCCTAGTCAACTTCTCAGTGGATCGCTCAGGTTCAGCACCCACCACCAGCGTCCAACGAAATCTGCCGCCGGATCAACGGCGGCTCAACTCCATTCCTGGTCAGCTCGCAGGTCAACTTTATCCCAGGTCACCACCGTCCTTCGACTAGGGGCACTCTTAACTTCCACCATCGGTGACCCTGACAGGTCTCGATCCCGGAACCTCCGGGGGCATCATTGTGTAAAGGGCATACCCCACTCCCCCACCTCTCCCTCCCCTCCTCTGGCACTTGTTTCATTGACTGACCTTGGCTGTGATTACCCCCTCGGCCCCCAGCTCCCTCCTTACCCCTACATCAACTCCACCTCCCCGCCCACGTCGTTCCATTTATCTCCCCCCTCTCCTCTCCCCGAACAGTACGACCAGGCAGCGCGACAGGCAGCAGAGCTCTCAAAGAAGGTGGGTAGGGCGGAGGAATGCCGGGGGGATAGCGGCCGGAGGGGCTCGGCGGTGGCGGTGGCGGTAGGTTGCCCTTGGAAGTTCCAAGTTGGAACCCGGGAAGGGGGGCCGGCGAGGGGCGGGAGGGGCTCGGCCCAGTTTTGGCAAACCCTTCCCCTCCCCCCCCCCCCCCCGTGTTTGTGACAGCTTCAGGGCAACACCCAACAGCATCTGGGATGCGGCCGCTCTGTGTGTGTGCGTGTGTGTGTGCGTGTGCGTGTGTGTGCATGTGTGCGTGTGTGTTAAGTTGTGCGGCTGTGATGGGGATGAGGGATGGGCGGGCCGGTGGGCGGGCCGGTGGGCGGGCCGGTGAGGTGTTGTGGGGAGTAGTGCGACGGGTTTCGAATCACCCCATCCCATGATGTGCTGCGTGATCAACTGTCCATCAACTGTCCAATCGCTGGCGGGTCTTTGATACCCCCTAGCCCCCCGAGGGCAAGTCCCCGTCCTCCTCGTCCAGTCACCCCACCTCCCCACCCAACCATCCGTCGCAAGTCCCGGGTCTTTCCCGCCCGCTTCCCCGTCGTGTGGTCCTCTCCTCGAAATGCGGGTCACATACATGTCCCCTTGCCTATCTGTCTGTCTGTCTGTCTGTCACAGTGTCTCCCTTCCCCGTTTCTGCAGGCAGCTCAACGGGCGGAGGCAGAGCAGCGCAGGGCGCAGCTAAGCCGGGGGTTGGCGGCGCTGGCGGAGGCGTCATCGGTTGCGGGGGGAGGGGAGCAGGGGGCCGCGACGGCGGGGGGGGGGGCTGGATCCGGATCCGGGTCGGGCCCATCCACGCGGCTGGCTGGCCCCGAAGATGTTCGGCGGGTGCTGAGGGCTGCATCGGATTACGAGGTGCTGCAGGTGTGTGTGGGGGAGGAGAGGTTGGGGGAGAGCTGGGCTCGGGGCCGGGTGGATAGCTGGGTAGGATACAGCACCCGCAGCAGTTGGAGGGGGGGGGAGGAGGAGGGGGAGGGGGAGGAGGAGGGGGAGAAAAGCGCAGCACACGTTCGTGCACATGGGCCAGCAATGAGTTAGCGGTCTTAGGGCTCAACGTCAACCGGCAGGTGAAGGAGCAAGAGTGTGTGTATATTGTATTTGTCTCGATGGGCAGGTATTCGCGTTCGCACGTACATGCAAACATCTACACATGTAGACATCGCGTGTCTGGGTGGCGGCCTGCAACAGATGCCGTGTTTCGTCAGTTATCGGCAGGGCAGGGCAGGGCAGGGCCCGGTCGGAGCCGCTGCCCCACGGGGGGTGTAGCCCCAGTGGGGGCTCCCACTGGGGCGCGGCTCGCAGGTTAGGTAGAGCAGTCCCCAGCAGTCCACCCAGCGCTTCGTTGGCGCCCCTCGTACAGCCGTACCGCCTCCCAAGACACCCTGCCGCCCTAACCCACTACCCCTACACCTGGATCCCACCCCCCACCCCTCTACACCCTGTGTGTGTATGTACGTATGTACGTATCTTGTTTCCCGTCCCCAGCTGCCGGTGGGCAGCACTGCAGCTGAGGTCCGCCGCGCCTACCGCCGCCTGGCGGCCTGTCTGCACCCGGACAAGTGCCGCGAGGAGGGAGCCCAGGAGGCGTTCATCCGGGCAGCGGCCGCATACAACGGGCTGCTGCGCCGCTGCGGGGGGTGAAGGGAGGGCTGCCGCGTGGGGTTGCAGTACCCGGGAGGGAGAGACAGAGGAGGACATCGTTTGCTTTCCTTGTAAGGGGGAATACAAGAGTGGACAGTTGTGCCTGTGTGACTGCCTGTGTGACTGCCTGTGTGTCTGTCTGTGTGTCTGTCTGTCTGTATGACGGCCCCGAAATACCGGGGAAAGCTGGGTTTGACCAAGTAGCGGCCACGGGTGAAGATACGACCCCGCTGTCCCACACATCATACATACATGCAGGCGGCTGGCAGAGGTTAAGGCCTGACTTCTGCTCCCAGTCGACCCAGTCGACCCGGGTTCAAATCCGCCTGCCGGCTCCTCGGGTGTTTGAGGAGTGATGAAATGGGAGGTGGCCCCCCATCTTATGGACGGTGTAGGACGTGATAATATCAACTTGCGAGCTGACCAGGAACTAAGTTGATGCGCCGTTGATCCGCTAGATTTGGTTGGATGCTGGTGGTGAGTTGCCGAACCCAACGAATACATTCTGAAGTCGGATGGGGTGACGGATTAGGGTGCCCCTCTAGCAGGGGAGAGCAGGGACTGCCCCGGGAAAGGGGGCCGCTGGCGAAGTTAACCACCCTGTAACAACATACATGCACACACAAGTCAGTCGGAGGATGTGGGTTCAGATCCCTCCGCCGGGTCTCCCCCCCGGGTGAAGTAGGTCGGGGTGTCGAATGCTGGGTTGAGACACTGGGTTTTCCTCCAGTGCGCTGGGCGGCTGGAGGGGGAGCTCTCACCATGAAGATCTATACACGGCCGCTGAGCAATAGCGGAGGTATAATCCTGCTTAGAAAAATGCACCAAGGCCTGGACCAGGCTGTATACCAGATGGTGGAGGATTGGCAAGGATAGGGTGGCGATTGGCACCGGTGTGAGTGCATTGGTAGATTGTGCAGCTGTAGAGCATGCGCTCGATGGAACGGAGGTCGCTTGGCATCTGAGCTGGTGTGTATGTAGCTGGCTAGAGGATTCAAACAGGTGACGGCGCCTTGCGTTGATAAGGGAGAACGGTTAGGACTCTGCCTCCAGTGATGGAGTGCTTCGGTGGTCGTTCCCGTTGGGGTATACGGTTAGGTGGCCCCCCTGGCCAGCGTCTGGCCTGGATCGATATGTAACGATACACACACAGACGCACACACAGACACACAGACGCACAGACGCACACAGATGCAGATTGACTATATCATATGGTAAGCGCATTAGTAAGAAGACACTAAGTCCCTGTCGTATAGTGGTTAGTACATCACGTTGTGGCCGTGAAGACCCCGGCTCGAATCCGGGAAGGGGCTCATTAACGGACTACAGATACCGGTACGCCTGCATAATACAATAGACTGATTGGCGGGGCTCGTACATCAGATGCAACAGCGAATGTCAATGGAACATTTGTCAATCTGGGATTGTGCTGGATTGCCTTTCATCGTTCAATATTCTCTCAATGTCGATGGTGGGAGCAATTCTCTGAATTCGGAGATGTCGGCTAGGGTGACTGGATGAGGGTGCCCCAGAACACCGGGGAAGGCAGGGTTTGGGGGGGTAGCTGCCGCAGGGCGTCCCGCACATCATATAGGTGTGTGTGTCTTCGCATCCCCACCTGGAGCACCACCGTCACCGTCACTAATAATCATCACCATCATCACCGCGATGGGCCCCCTCCAACTACAAGCTGCTTCGGCAGCAGCAGCGGCACTTGAGGAACAATTCCAAACCTTAATATCCCTTACACAGACACACAGAATTAATTGCCCACTCTTGTATTTCACCTCACCTCACAAGGGAAGCAAAGGATGTCCTTCGCCTCCTCGGGCAGTCATCCTAGCCGACTTCTCACAATGGATCGCTCAGGTTTAGCACCCACCACTGGCATCCAACGGAATCTGCCGGACCATCGGCGGCTCAATTCCATCGGAATCTGCTCGGCTTGCAGGTCCACTATATCCAAAGTAATCACCGTTCACCAACTCGAGGCAGTCTTACCTTCCACCATTCGGAAACTGAATTTTCGATCTTGACAGGTGTCGATCCTGGAATGTCCGGGGGCATCGGTGTGTAACTAGTTACAAGTTCTGCATGAGTGCGGAGGTATCGTCAAGCCGGGAGGCCATGGACTATATATATTTTGAAAGTTGATTCCGCCGTACAACTGAAAGCAGTGGGTCCTGCCACCTAGACCCCCCCTCTTCCATTCCATCCCCATTCCCTCCTCATCCGTAGAGACAGGTCAGCCATCGCCACCAACATCAGCACGCGAAACTTAATCCATCAACTAGACCTCGTCTCCGTAGCACCTCAACAAAAAGCAATCCGTAAACCTGATACTCCCGACCAATGTGGGGGTCTGCCCAGGAAAGTATGTGCGTTACCAGTAGTGCCTGAACTACATGTGTGTATGTATGTATGTATGTATGTATGTATGTATGTATGTATGTATGTATGTATGTATGTATGTATGTATGTATGTATGTATGTATGTATGTATGTATGTATGTATGTATGTGTGTATGTATGTATGTATGTATGTATGTATGTATGTATGTATGTATGTATGTATGTATGTATGTATGTATGTACATACGTACGTACGTGTGTTGGGAACCTGGATGCCGGGTGAGTGTGGGGCGGAGGAGGAGGTCACCACACGGACGCGCGGGGCGGGGCAGAGCGACAGCGGATATGCAAGCCTGTCTGTAGCGATAGATATGTTCGTAGCGGCCATACTCACCCTCGTGCGCGTGTGCGTGTGCATGAGTGTTGCATGTGTATGCGTGTGCGTGTGCGTGTGTGTGTGCGGACTGTGTGTATGTTTGTTTGTTTGCTTGTACGTATGTGGTGCCCATCACTGGCAAGCGGGGGGTCCGAGGCAGGCAGGACGACGGCCGTTAGTTAGTTGCGGAGGCGGGCAGCGAAGCGCTCATGCGTACGGCGGAGGGTGCAGTCAGAGGGGCTGCTGGGTTGAGAGGAGAGGAATGTGCCGAGAAGGACTTATAGGGGCGGCTTGGAGAGTTGCCGGGACGCGCGTAGTAGATTATGCGCCGGATGCAACGGCCGATAGTCTCTACAGATATAGAGCACGCGGTGATGATGGTGCGGGTTTCCCCAGCCGGCAAATGTGTGATGGGAGTTTTGGATGCGCTGCGCGTTTCCAACGCTGTGCTATGCAGTGTCAATATGCAGCCCTGGATTGGTGCGCTCCAAATTGAATTTTTTTCTCCCGGTGATTTTACATACATTGGCGTGCTGCACGACCAGAGATTTGATGCACGGCATGCAACATCAGGCGACCGTTGGCTGTAACCAACGCGACTTAACCGACTTAACGTGTTGCGTTTGCTTGGAAACTTGCAAGTGTGTGCAGTGAAGGACTTCTGGATAGGTCCTTGATATGTAGCTGCCAGGGCCCTTAGGCCATAGTGCAGGATGGCGCCGCCGTTAAGCGGCCCGAAGAAGTTTGCCGACTTGGGTTGCCTTTCAAGGGAAACTGTTGACGTCTTGACATCTCTCGGTTTCCATACTACTACTCCTGTTCAAGAAGCTACAATTCCTCTGTTCTGCGGCCACAAGGATGTGGCCGTCGATGCTTGCACAGGTTCTGGAAAGACGCTGGCGTTCGTGCTGCCAGTTATCGAACGGCTCAGAAGACTGGAGGAGGCCTTGAAAACACACCAGGTGCAGTCAACGTCGGACCCATGACAAAACGGAAACTATGCCGTCTCGCGGCCGCTACCACCGAAGCAAATTGAGTCAAGGCACGTGACTGCTCTGTTTTCTTCTTATCTCATAACTCAGGTTGGGGCAATCATTATATCGCCAACTCGAGAGCTCGCGAAGCAGATTTATGGCGTTGCGGGGCCATTAATTGCGAGCGTGCCCGGCCTTACATCAATGCTGCTGGTCGGAGGAACGTAAGTAGCACCTATTACCCAGCACGGCTGTGAAAACGGTACAAATTTTGGCAGATGGAGTGCGCGCCCCATGGGACTGTCAGCCTCTTGGAAAATCCTTAAACGCATCATTACGTGCGGACTTTCATCCAGTTCACCATCATGCTCATCATGCTCTCTCGTACCTTAGCTTCTCAACCGGTCTTCTCCCCCCGCCCACGTACACCGCGACTGTCACGACCCCCTTCCAAACGCAGGGACCCCGCTCAGGACGTGGCGGCCTTCAAGTCCCGCGGTGCGCACGTGCTGGTCGGCACCCCGGGGCGCATAGATGACATCGTCAAGCGATGCACCGCCATGGACCTAAAGCGCCTGGAGGTACGGCATTGTACGGCGAACCACTGCTTGTCCCGCAGTCGGTGCTTTGAACCTCTGCAATGATTTCTTTCTTTCAAGAAGTACTTGTTGGTCCCCTCAGGGCTCCTACTGTCGTACGCGTCCTCGTTTCACCTTGTTGAGCACATACACACCGCACACCTCCCCCTCTCCGCCCCCTCTCCCCCCCTTGCAGGTCCTGGTTCTTGACGAGGCCGACCGGCTACTGGACCTGGGCTTCCGCGCCCAGCTGGACTCGGTGATGTCCCGACTGCCCCGGCAGCGCAGGACCGGACTGTTCTCGGCCACGCAGACGGAGGCGGTGCAAGAGCTGGCCAGAGCGGGGCTCCGGAACCCCGTCCTGGTGAATGTGGCGGTCACAGCAGTAGCAGCAGCAGCGGCAGCGGCGGCACCGCAGGGGGCGGCCGGTAGCGGTAAAAAGGCGAAGGTGGGGGCGGCCGGTGGGGAGGTTGAGGGGCTGGAGGAGGCGGCGGCGGCTGGTGGTGGTGACGGCGCGGTCGGGCTGCAGAAGACGCCCAACAGTCTGAGCATCCAATACGTCATGTGTGAGGCAGATGAGAAGATTCCGCAACTGGTACGGCAGTATGGCGGGTGCTGGGAGGGGCATGGGGGGTCAGGCTGCTGTTTGGGTTTTCTGAGTCCGTACACCGGCAGGAGACTGCCGGGGGGGGTAGGGGGGAAAAGGGTTTGTTGGGTGGGTGGGGGGAAATCATATGCGAGGTGCTGCCTGGCGGGGCGGGTGTGGGCCGTTTGGCCGTGTCCTCTTCCTCCCCCCTTCCCCCCCGCTCTCTTCATGCCCCTCTGGTGGACCGCCCCCTGCCCCGAGGGGCCCAAGTCCCGTCCCGCCCGGACCACCGTAACCCCTACCCCCATCCTTAACCCCCCGTTCCCCACCTCGCCGCTGACACCTCGTGCAGGTCCGGTTCCTCCGGCTGTACGGCACTAATTGTAAGATTATCGTGTACGCCATGACGTGTGCGGTCGTGGACTACTTGTCTCTGGTGCTGCCTCGCCTGCCCGCGCTGCGGAGAGTGAAGATGCGGGCGCTGCACGGCCGCATGAAGCAGGCGGCGAGGGAGAGGGAGCTGGAGGCATTCCGGCAGCTGTCGGCAGGTAGGGGGGTAGGGTCGGGGGGGGCGGAGGGGAACAGATAGGGTGCACTGTGTATGTGTGTGTACGTTTAGGGGGAATGGGGTTGGGAAGGAGGTCGTTTGGAGTAGTACGGCAGGCCGTACCCGGATGAGCGCCAAGGCAGCGGTGGGTGGCGTCCGCGGTCCAGGTCGTCGGAATGCCGCAGCTCCGTGTCGTACGGGGGTGATGTAGTGGTGCTGTGTGTTTTGGGGGGGAGGGAGGGGGAGGAGGGGTTGGGGGCTATGAGGGGGTATATGGGTGGGGGGCCTCCGGGACCAGTGGGGGCTCCGTACGGGGCCACACAGCCTCTAGGTCTCTTTGGCTGGCACGGACAAAGTGTGTCACCACCAGCAGCAACTCACCACCAGCATCCAACCAAATCTAGCGGATCAACGGCGCCACAACTTAGTTCCTGGTCAGCTCGCAAGTTGGTATACTTACGTCCTACACCGGGGCCACCTGCCAGTTCAACACCCCTCACACACCGAGGGGGTGGCAGGCGGATTTGAACCCGGAATCTCCGGGAGCAGAAGTCAGGCCTTAACTTCTGCCAGCCACCTGCCTGTATGTATGATGTGTGAAACAGGGGGGTGTATCTTCGCCCGTGGCAGCTACCCTGCGAAACCCTGCCTTCCCCGGTATTTCGGGGCACCCTCATCCAGTCACCCTAGTCAACTTCTCAGTGGATCGCTCAGGTTCCGCACCCACCACCAGCATCCAACGGAATCTGCCGGGTCGACAGCGGCCCAACTCCGTTCCTGGTCGGCTCGCAGGTTAACTTTATCCCAGGTCACCACCGTCCATCAACTAGGGGCGCAATGCCTTCCACCATCGGAAGGACTTTGACCCTAACGGGTATCGATCCCGGGATCTCCCGGGGGCAATGGTCGCGCCTTACCAGTGGTGCCAAACCTGTATGTATGTATGTGTCGTAAGAGTAATGAAAAAGGACAGGTGCTAGCAAGTACTACGAAGAGGAATGTCCTCGGGTTTTACTCCGCCCTCCAATGCCCCGCCTCTCCCTCCCTCACCTTTCTCTCCCCCCCTCCCGGCGTTGTGTCTCGTCAGCTGAATGGTGCCCCATGCATCATCATCATCATCACTATCACCATCATCCCACCCCCGGCCCCCCTCCCGCCGCAGGTGCTCTGCTGGCCACCGACCTGGCGGCCAGGGGTTTGGATATCCCCGACGTACACTGGGTCGTACAGCTGGATCCACCCCAGGATCCAGCCGCGTTCGTACACCGAGTGGGTCGTACAGCCCGCATGGGTCGCCAGGGGAGTGCACTCGCGTACCTGCAGCCGCACGAGGAGCCCTACCTGGAGTTCCTCCGGCTGAGGAAGGTACCTCGGGGGGCGGGGGGGGGGTGTTGGGGGCCGGGGGGGGGTACTGCAGTGTTGGCAGGGAGGGCGGGAAGGGGGCATTATACACATGCTGCTGCTGCTGCTGCTGCTGCTGAAAACAAAGAAAAGAAATTCAATTTGTGGGGGAAGGGTGTCGGACACCCCTCTCTACGGGTTCCATTTCAACCCCATACCGGGCCATACACACCATACACCCCGCCTCCTCCTCCTCTCCCCCTCCTCTCCTCTTCCCCCGCTCACACACAACCACGTACCCCTTTCCCCTCCCGGCAGATCCCCATCACGGAGACAAGCCAGCTGCCCCCGACATCGGGTCGGGGGGAGGGCGGCCCCCAGGCAGCGGCCGCCAGCGACCCCCCCCGGCCCGAGGAACAACCCCACGGACACAGAAACAAGAAGAGGAAGGGGCAGCAGCAGGGGCAGCAGCAGGGGGCGCATGTTGAGGAGGGAAAGGGGGGCGCGGGTGCGGACCGGGGTGAGGGCCGGAGCCTAGTAAAGGGCGGGGTGGGGAACGGCAACGCCACGTCCGGCGGCAGCCCGAACGGGCGACTTGTTGGGGAGGGCAGTGCTACTGCTACTGCTACTGATGGTGGTGGTGGTGGTGATGGTGTGGGGGACGTGGTTTCCTGGCTCCGCGGGGCGGCAGAGCGGGAGCGGGAGGTGATGGAGGGCGCCACTCGGGCCTTTGTGACATACGTGCGGGCGTACAAGGAGCACCAGTGCAAGTTCATTTTCAGATTGCAGGTGTGTACGGAGGGGTGTGGAGGGGTGTTGGGGGAATGTGGGGAAAGGGTGCTGACCCCCTGAATTTGTACCGGATATGTATCCTACCGTGTTACGACATGTTGCGGGAGCTGGGAAGGGGATCTGGCTGCCTCTCCCCCCCCTTTCCCCCCTCTCACCTTGCCCCCCCCCGCCTTCCCCCCCTCTCTTGACCTGGCAGCAGCTTCAATCGTGTGTGGTTCGTCTTTCCCCCCCTCCCTTCACTGCTTTGCTCAAAGACGTGGACCAATGCCCGGTGTCGTACACCTCCTGGACTCACTCAAAGCGCAACGGCCGTCCTCTACATACGTACATACATACATACATACGTACATACATACATACGTACATACATACATACATACATACCCCCTCGTCTCTCAGGATCTGAACGTGGGTCGTCTAGCCCGGGGGCTGGGGCTGCTGCGGCTGCCCAAAATGCCCGACGTGAAGAAGCCCCTGGGGCTGGAGCACTTCACACCGTCGCAAGTGGATCCAATGACAGTGCCGTACAAGGATAAGCCCCGGGAGAAGCAACGGCTCAAGGTACGGTGTAACGGGGGGCGGGGGCCTGGGGGTGATGAGGGGTGTAGGCCAGCAGTTGGGGAGTTGGGGCACGCACCATTGCCCCGGGGGCGGTAATCCTATGATTTGTGAAACCCCCGACAGCTCGACAGCTCCGTAACCTTCCTCACATCAAACTAACCCCACCAACCCCGTACGATTTGTGACTCCTTCCCCCGTACGGCATGTGTATACAAGCCCGTAATCAACCTCGGGGATCCCCTCTAACGCCGCTGTACGTGTGTATGTATGTGTGTATGTATGTATGTATATATGTATGTGTGTGCGTTTAATGATCTGACTGCCGCGATTGGGGGTGGGGCGGGGGAAATGCCGATGGATGGGTGGGTGGATGGATGGCGGTACACTGGCGAATAACCCCTTGTCCACCGAATCGAGCTCTCGGTAGTCCACCGCCACCAGCGACGTGTCCGTCACTGGAGCTCTCCAGTGAATCTGTGGACGACGGACGGACGGAGCTGCTTGACGGTTCTCTTAGGCAGATGCTCAGTTAGGAGAGTGATATGAAGGAATCAGCCGGGGGGGGGCCGGCCCTGTAGTCAGTTAAGCGAAGGGCGACTTAAGAGCAGGTGGTGGTGGCGGTGGTGGTGAGGTCGGCTGGAACTGACTACACGGACAAGGAGGGGGTACCTGAGGTCCCAACTGATAGACCTAGGAAACCTGTCTTCCCTTCTCCTCGGCGAGCGGACAGAGCAGAGGGTCGTGCTGCTATCGCAGATAGAGCGACGACGACGACGACGACGACGACAAGCACAGGGTATGAGGGCAACCTCTTCCCCCCCCCCGGGGGGCCCCACAACGAACCCTTCCCGTGAAAGCAGCTTAAGGTTGAATGACCGCACGGGAACAAAGTGAAGTGAAAAGACAAAGGATGTCGGCGGAGCAGGGGCGGGGCAGCACAGCGGCGGGGAGTTGGTGGGGGTGTTGTTCGGGAGATGTCGCGGGGGGGGGGTGCGAGGGCAGTTGCAAAGGCCACACACACACACACACGGGGGACACACGTACGCGGCGGCGCGCCCTGGTCCTAACTAACTAAGGAGAGGAGGAAGGAAATAGAGGAGAAAGACATCGGAGTAGGCCGTACATGCTTCTGGGTGGCGATGAAGTAAAGCTACGGGGTGCGTGTGTGCCCCTGTATGTTGTGTGTGCGGCCCCTGGGTTGCTCGCAGGCCATAGAGCAGCGGCGAGCCGCAGCGGGCGCGGGAGGTGCCCCGGGGGGTCGGGGGAGCGGCGCGGCGGCCAAACGTAAGGCCCCCGGGGGCCCGGACGCCGGGGGTTCCGAGTGCCGCCTACCCGCGGCCAAGCGGCGGCAGCTGCAGCTCATTGACGAGGCGACCAACTTGAACCAGGAGTACAGGTGGGGCCAGGGGGGAGAGAGGGGCGTGTGTGTGTATGTGTAATGTACGGGGTTGGGGGTAAGGGGGGACAGTGTGCTCCTATATTTGTGTGGGTGGGTTGAGGGCTGGTTGGGAGGGGGATGGTGGTGATTGAAAGAACTCCGGAAGGTGATGACCTTTACACAGAAATGAAAGAATCTGGTGTTGTTGTTGAAAGAAATTTTACCTGATTCATAAGTAGCTCTCCCTTGTTTATTATTTTAGCTAAATGTGTTGTAGTTTACGTCAGAGGCGCCCACCTTCTTAGATTCCGGGGAGGGAGAAATGGGCGACTCAAGACGGAATGGTGGAGTTAGCCCCGGGTGGGGGAAAATGGGGGATGGAGACTGGGAAGGAAAGCTGCGGTAGGCGAGAGGGGGGCAGAGAGGGAGGAGAGGGAGGCGTCCCCCCGTGTGACCCGCACCTGATCGCGGTCCCCTCTTTTCACTCCCCCCGCCCCAATACCCGCCGCGCCAACCCCCGCATACTCCAGTCTTCTTAAGAAGCTCAAGAAGGGCAAAATCACTGAGCACCAGTACGACGTGGCGACGGGACTGTCCTCGGACTCGGACGCGGAGGAGGAGGCGGCGGCGGCGGCGGGTGGCGCCGGGAAGGGCCGGGGAGGCGATGAGGGCGGGGCGGGGGAGGGGGCGAGGGAAAACGGTATTGCTGGAAGTCCCGACAGCAGCGACAGCGACAGCGACAGGGACAGCTCCGGAGGTGGTGGTGGTGGTGGAGATGCCAGGGGGACGGGGGGACGGGGACCGCAAGCTGCCCGAAATGGCGGTGGTGGTGGCGGTGGAGGGCGGGCGGTAGGGAAGCAGCCGCCCCGGGGAGCCCTGCAGTCGTACATCGACAAGAAGACCAGGAAAAAGAAGAAGCAGAAGGGCAAGCAGCGGCGGACTGGCCGGGGGGGGGCGTGACAGGTCCGGCCTTGGAGAGGGAGGGAGGCCATGAAGTAGGGCCCTTCTGGAAAGGGGCCCTTAGCATCTCGTGTATGTGTGTGGTGGGGAGGGAGAGGGGGCTGATGAAACTGACTCACTTCACTGCCTGCCTGCCTGATTGGCGGTTTGGGGGGTAGTACCCCTTGAAAGCCACTCAGGTGGCTGAGAGGGCGTGAGGGTGGGGGGTTAGGTGAGGGTGGGAAGGGGTCCATTCATCCCCGAGCGCGGTCACGGAGCTGCTCAGTTGGCGGGGTGGTTAGTCGGTTACACCGTTACTTTGTTGGCCGTTGCATGGTTAGGGTGTGTGTGGCGGCGTCGTACGGTTGCTGATAAAGGTCTTTAGGTGGTGCGGTGACGGACGTCTGCTGGCTGGGACCCCCTGGGACCCCCTTCCTCTCAGGAGGGGCTTATGCGGTCGGCGGAAAGGAGTGTGCATAAGAACATCTGTTTCCGGGGTGCGTGAGAGCGGAGTAGAGTAGCGGAGGGGGGAGGAGGGGTGCGCGCTCCTGAATGGGGCGTGTAGTCAGTACGGTTGTACATCCTTTCGCCGTACGGCTCCCGTGACTTGCCATGATCCATCCGCGGCGCTGTCGTTCCCTCTGCACCTCACCCACCTCCACCTTTGGCCCGTGGCCCCTACCCAACCCAACCTCACCCCACCCCATGGGGACATCACCTAGTAACGCGCACAGCAGCAGCAGCAGCAGCAGCACAAATACCCCGCTCAAAAAAGCGCCTTCTCATTCCATGCTACTGTCGTACAGCACCACGCGTCGTAACCCGTACACTTTTGTTAGCCGTACGACGGCCTGCTCCGCCCGATAGTCCCCCCCCACTGCCATCACTGCCACGAAGTCCCAGTCACGCGCAAGAGCCTCCGCCTGGGGCCGCCGTAACGAACTTAACGGAATATGCCTGTACGGCACTGCACCGGTCCTCTCCGTCGCCCAGCGTAGCCGATATCCGCCTTCTGACCCCCTCCCCTCACTTCCCGGGGCCGCATTGGGCCCTATCAGTCTGCAGTGGCGTTCCGTCGCAGAGCCCGGTCGGTCCGTGGCGGCGCCGTTAGCGGGGGGAAGGGTTTGGGGCGGGGGGCGGGGGGTCCGGGACACAACGGGGCAATCCGCCGGTACGACGGGGGAGGTGAATAAAGTTGGGCGAGGGGTGTGAGTCCGGAGGAGGAGCCCGAATGGAGCGTAGTGGGGCCGCAGGGCGGGGAGCGGCATGCGGCGATTGCGGCGACCCCACCCGCCGGGGGGGGGGCTCTCAGATTACCCGCAGTCCCAGTCGGGTCGGGTCGGGGGGTGGCGGGGGGTGGGGCCGAGGATGGGGCCCCCAAGGGGGAGGACGACGTGGCAATGCACCTCCCCAGCCGCCCCCGCCAAGCCAGCCCTAACCACAGCTCTCCGGAGCCCCAGCGGTCAGCACTTCTGCGCCCCCCCCCTGGCCCCCCCGCCCCCTTTTTCCCGGGCTGGACACAGCAGCGGCCACCAGCAACACCAACACCGTAGCCACCATTGCCTGCTGCTGGCACCAGCAGCTACACGGCCCCGTCCGACGCCGCGGTACCACATAGCCACTTTAGGTACACACCCCTCTCCCAGTCCCCACCCCCACCCACGCCTCCTCACCTGCTTTCCCCCGCCTCCCCCTCCCGGACGTCCAGAAGCACCAGCCGGCCCCTCCCAGCTGCCAACGCCCCAACTGCCGAACCATCGACCAACCCGTCACCACCACTTCCACCACCGCCGGCATTGCTGCTGCTGCGGCTGGTGCCCATCCGTGCACTGACGGCGACGGCGCCCTCGCTCCCTCTGCCGCCCATATCAGCCCCGTCCCCCGGGTCTCCCCACCCCCCCGCCAGCTCCCACAGCTCCCTACGACCGACTCGGGGTACGGCTGCCGGGTCCAGGTAGAGCCCGCCGGTCGGGGGGTGGGGGTGGGGGTGGGGGATTGGCGTTGTGTCAGCTGACTGCTGACTGAGAGCCACCCCGCTACCAGGGGAGAGCCGCTGCTGCTGCTGCTGCTGATCGCCGCCTTCTACTTCTTCTTCTTGGTCGTCCATAAGGCCCACTGGGGCCGTACACGGCATGGATTGGGGGTTTGCCAGTTTCGTGTTTGTGGAGGGTGGCGCGGTGGAAGGCGTTGATCGGAAATGGGGGAGAGGGAAGCGGGGAAGGGCCGAGGGGAGGAGAGGGGAAGTGTGCGGTTTTGGGTCATCTGGTGGCATTACAGCGAATACGTTTGAGGGATGTGGTTTCGGAGGACCTGGGAGGTTGGTCATGACGGGGCGGGACGGCGAAGTACACCTGTCAAGAGGGGGGTGGGGAGGAGAAAGAAGGAGCTCCCCGGCCCCCGTTCCCCCCTCCCTCCGTCTCCCTCCCTTCCCCCCTCCAGGCTGGCAGGCAGGCAGGCGGGCCCCCAAAAGGTCTCCTACAGGTGTGACCCTCTTCTCCCCCAACCCGGCGGACGCCCACCTCTAGGGGGTCGCATGCCCCAGGGGTTGCCCAAGTCTGCAACAGCATCATCCCAGCTCTCATCATCCTCGTCATCATCCTTCTCGCCGGCATCCAAGTCCAAGACCTTTTTCCCCGGACCGGACCGCCCCCCGAGGCCCTCCCTGAAGTAGGTATAAGGGGAGGAAGTCACCACCCGCACACCATGCTCCGCAGCCTGCGCATCGCAGATGGCATCAGCAGGTAGCGTCTCCGATATGCCAGTAATGAACTATGCAGCTGATGGACCCACCAGTTGACGCATTATTTCTTCCGGCGAAAGGTCGGCGTCAGGTGTCGATGCGCTGGTCAAGACGCGCCGACGGTTGGAAGCTCTTTGCGCCCGAAAGCATCCCGTAAATTCAAGAAATGACAAGTTTGTCGAACGGTTTGCAAAAGTGCTATGGGGTGCCGTGAAGCGACTATAAAGGCTGTGTCGGTGCGTCATGTTCTCAACGCGCGTCTGCAAGTCTATATTTGCTTTCAACTTGCGCAATAATTTAACTCCACAGACAGACTCCTTTACTTTGTTACGCTCCGATGCTTTCCTTCAATAGTCAGCCGAGAGGCATATGGCCACGCGGTCTGATGCAGGGCCACGCCACAACACATTTTTACATTCTTAACAAAACTTCTTGTGGTAACCTGAATCCAGCAGAGAGTTTCCAATATGCATGAGAATGCACCCCCATGAGCGAGCGTCCCGCGGGTCATTCGAAGCTCTGTCATGCAGGAATTTGCCCTTTCGTAAATCTCAACCTGTGCCGCAACTCCTTCAAGAAGCACATCAAGCTCAATTACCTGCATACATCATTGCTAATCCCCGTACGTTCACCCCCTTTGGACGTCCCACGTCATCTCGCTCCGTACCACCATTCCGATGCTCAAAAAAACTGCTTTCCCCAGCGGCACCATCCCCGGTGGCGGACCCTTCGATTCCTTGTTCAAAACACCCAGCCAGCGCTTTCTGCAGCCATCCGGGATAGCTCTTTGCATTACGGGCATTCTTTAGTTTGCATTTTCTAGTGGCCGCGCGGAAACGAGCCGGGCCGATACGGCCAGCGGAGTCACACGACTATCCTAGCTCCTGTATCGTTTAATCCCTTTCAAACCACTGTATTTGTCCTATTATTTAGGTCAACAGACATATCCTCAGGCAACATACAGACAAACGAAGCAACCCCGCGCAAGCAACCGCAAGGGCGCTGGTCACGCGGACGTAACCCCCCCACCCCATAAGCCCCAGCAGGCCTCCTTTCTCTCTCTCCCTCTTTCTCTTCCTTCTCTTCGTCTTCTTCTTATTATTTGCAATGGGCAATCGCTACAGTTCCCTTTGCGGAGGTGAAGCGCCGCTCCGGGATCCCACTGCTGCTGCTGCTGCTGCCACCGCCGCCACCGCCACTTCCACGACCACCCCCACCAGCAACACCAAGCAAACCCTCCCCTCCACCTCCACCTCCACCCCCACCTCCACCTCGCCACCTTCCCCCCACTACGGTTTCGACTTCCTGGCGCACCTCTCCCTCCTCCCGGACACCAAGTCCACCAAACTAAATAACCACCCCTGTGCAGCAGCAACAGCGGCAGCAGCGGCAACCACCCCAACGGTGGAAAGCCTAACCAGCGTACTGCACAACTTCTCCCCAAGCGTCGCCGCCGCCGCGGCTGCCGCCGCCGCTGCCTGTACTTCCGTACAACCTTTCCAGCTGGGCCCCCCGCGGCTTCTTGCCCAGGAACTCCTGCAGTACGGTCTGCGGATTGATGACATCAACCTGACCCGGGCTTTGAGGCGATATCGAGAGACCAGTGCCGCAGCGGCTACTGCCGCCGCCGGCAGCGGCGGCGGCGGAAGCGGCAGTAGCAACGGCGGTACGGGCGGTGGGAAAACGGCGCATGATCTATCCCCGCAGGGGCCGCTGTGTCCTCCGAGTAATGATAGGGGTCGGGGGGTTGAGGGTGGCGGGAGGGGAGGTACGAGTGGCGACGTGCCGTTGTTGCTAGCGGCGGCGGCGGCGCCGCCGTCGGGCCCTACAGCGGCGGCCGCAGCGGGAGTGTCGATGTCCGGTACGACTGGCGTGTCGTCGTCGTCGTCGGCGGCGGCGGCGGCCCCGCTGTTTCCTTCTTTCTCTCCTGCCCCCCCCTCGACCCCGGCTCTGGGGCCCCCGCTCCTTACGGACGGTATGCTTGGCTTGTGTGCTCGGGTGTATATGTTGTAGGTATGTGTGTAGGTATGTGTACGTGTGCATTTTGTGATTTAAAAACATACTTTTCCCGCCAACCCCATCCGCTCACGGTACGGCACGGATTAGTAACGCGGCACGGCGGCACCCACTCGCGTGTCCTCTCTCCTATTATTTAGGTTCTGAAGTCCGTGACTGTCGTACATGCAGTCAGGCCGTACATTTTGTGGCCACCACGTACTTACTACCACTGGCAGGCCCCGGATCCCGAGCCGCCTGAGGCTTCCTCCCTTGCTTCGCCAGCAGCACATACAAACCTTTATGCGAGTGTAAACTCACAAGTACTGTCGTACATCTCAGCAGACGGCTGTTGTACATCTCTGCAAACCAGAAACTGCATTACAGAAGCTCCTGGAAGCGTACACCCTTGCCTGCCCCTAACCGACTCTTGTTGTGGTTTTTACAGGTTGTGTGTATGTATGTATAACTGTCCCCCACCCCACCCCACCCCGCCCCAACCCCCTCTCGAAGACGAGGCCGCAGCCTCCGGGGAGTTGCTACTGCCACCTCCCTCGGCTGCCGGCCCCGGCGCTTTAGCTACAGCCTCACCTCCTGATGGCCGTACGCAGCTGCTACTGCTGGGCTCCGTACAGCTCGTGGATGCCGGGGAGGGTCAAGGAGTGGGTGCGGCAGGTGGGAGGGGCCCGGGGGATGGGTGGGGGCTGGGGGGCGCCGTGTGTTTGAGGTGTATGTGTGTATGTATGTGTGTGTGTGTGATATGGCGGTGGGAGTGTGAGGGTTGCAAGATGATCACACACACGACCACACACACACGCGCTACCCCCATGTCGTATCGTTAACATGTTTTCAGGGAAGAGGCCGGCGCCTGCCCCTTCCCCCTCCGCTTCACTAGCCAGTGGTTCGTCTTAACCCCCCACCCCCCCACC